AAAAAAATTGTGATACGTTATCAACGTACTTATCATATCGCGATTGACGAAGCTGATCTATCTCGCAAAGTCGCATAGAAGTGAGACGACTATGAAGAAACGCCTAATGTTGAATAACATTCGCAAAGCTGCTGTCAAAGATCCTCATGTGGACTGAAGATGATCGGATTGCTGATTTAAACACGAACGTCTAGAATCAATAAACTTTGTTGTCTAAAAGTATCCCATTCTAATGTCTAACTCATTACGACGCAAATATGCGATTATATTATATGAATCGAAATAGTTCATTCAGCAACAATTCCTTGCAAAACTTTGTTGAAATATCATACAAGGAAATTGACGTTATCCTTATTTCGTATCTATGACAAATTCAAAGGAACCTACTTGCTAGAAGCTATGGATAGCTCAATCTTGTTGAATGAAGTGACGCATTGTTATGACACGATTAGTGACTTAAACATCGATATAGTCTAAATAAATATCCGTTGTCAACTCGTCAAGAATCCTAACGAAGGAAATTCTATTATTGTAGCATGAGTCAAGAAACCGCTCACGATCAAAGTAACCAAGCACCAAGTGATGGGCACGGAAATGTTCATATTGAAGTATCTAGTTTCACACCTCCTATTCAAAGTGAACAAGTGAACTCACTACATGTTCCCCAAAATGATCAAAATATTAGAGATCAACCTGACGCTATGCTACCTACCTTAATGGTAAACTTCTTACAACAAATGACCAATGTCCCTGTGTTTCAACCACCTCCACCACAACCTCGTTTGACCACTTTCAAAACCTTGAAAGATAATGGTGCTGAGGAGTTTCTGGGAGATCGAATTGCCGAACCCCAAATTGCTCTTGAATGGATCGAGCAGATCGCTCGTGTACTACAAAATTTGAACATACCTCTCGTTGATCATCCAAAATTTGCATCTCAATTGCTCCGCAAGGAAGCCTACGAATGGTGGAAACGTACTGACAAAAATCCAAACACACCCAAACCTTGGACATGGGAATTCTTCGATTGGGCATTCAAGAAGGAATATATACCAGCTTGATTCCGTGAAGAGAAACGTGCTGAATTTATCGAATTAAAGCAAGGAGATATGACACTCCCTGAATACCGACAAAGATTTGTCCATCTCGCTCAATTTGCACCCACGCTGGTGGGTACAGCGGCGGAGCGCATTGAGGAGTTTCGCAAAAGACTTCGACCTAACCTCAGGCCGCACGCATCTACTATTCAAACTATGGATTTCATTGAGGCATACGATCTAATCTCCAAAGCCGAAAAAGATCTAAGTGATTACTATGAAAGTCTGAAGAATAAGAATGTCAATCCAAATGAACGACCAAATTCAAATCAGAAGAGACCCCTGCAAGAAATTGATTGTGCCATTCACTCGAAAAAGGTAAAGTCAATGACAATTTAATCGACGTCATCCATGAACAAAATGAGGGTATGGAAACATCCAAAGTGTAATGTTTGTAAAAGACACCATCCGGGAGATTGCTGGCTTGCACAAGGATTATGTCTAATTTGTGGTGAACCTGGACATTTCCGAAGAGAATGTCCCTCTAACCCTGAATCATATTCAGTTACTTCTGTCCAAAATCAGCCTGTTCGCTCAAGAACAAGTCAACGCTCTAAAACACGAAGCAATTCAAAGAGTCCAACCCAAGGATGATACTCTGTGAAGATCCTAAAGTGCTACAAGGGCTCGAGGATATATTGACAAAAACAATGGACAATTAATTAAACATCAGCTATATCTTATTTTTACCATGCATTATCTTAAAATCCAAGTGGGAGAATTAAAAATGCCATGCTTCAGACAGATAGTAGACCCCATTTTTCATAGAACATGCAACCATTTCACTCAAGGTAAAGAAAGTATATGTCCTATAGTTTAGGTGTTTTATTTAACTAACCTTTTCGCATATTACTTATTCTTACCTTAATCAAACCACTTATCAGACCATAAAAAATCATATGAGACCAAATAAAAAACATTAGACATGACCATAGCAAGCATTAATATTTCATATAAGAAAATTAGACAATACAAAAAACATTCATATTAGAGCAAATCAAGTCAGACTAGACAAGAAAAATTCAAACAGATCTTAAAGTATTCAATCAATCACATTTTAGAGGCAAAGAGAACAAGTGCTTTGTTTCACTCAATTCAGGTTGAGAATATCTCTATGAAAGAACTTGTATTAGCCTTAGAGCTGGCAAATCAGACGGTCAGGTCGGGTTTGGGTTCGACCACTTCTGATTTGAATTATATCAGGTTTGGGTAAGTTTGGATTCGGGTTAAGAACTACTTATTCATGACCCAATATCATCGGGTTCGAGTCAACCCAACGGGTAATTATATTTATTTTAAAAGTTTTTAAATCCATACTTGCATTTTGCATTAAAAAAAAACAATAAAATATCAAAATACATATATTAAACGTCTTAGAATATTTATTTTGAATTTTTAATTCCTTTTTAGATATGTTTAACAATGTAATGAATAGTAAAAAATTAAAAATGCATCACTTTTGAAAAAATATAAGATAACTATGTGAAAACTTGTGTCGAAATATACATTTATACACTAAAAATGTGTAATAAGAATAAAAATAAAAAACTTAATCTTATTTTTATTACATTATTTTCCATATTAAAATATATTATTTTGTAAAATTATTAAATTAGCGGGTCAGTTAGGTCGGGTTTGGGTTTGGTCGAGTTTGACCCATTTTTAGCAGGTCATTTCGAGTGTTGTCATCAAAACCTTTGTTCAAAACCCAATATTTTCGGGTTGGGTCAGTTTTTATCAGGCCTAATTAGCCTTTAGCCTCTAGAAATGTCAAATTGTAAGTCAGAAGTTTATATAAATGAAAAGTAGCATTGTCATTCAATACACCCTCTAGTGTACTAGAGTCTAATCCAAAAATAGCCTAGAAGACCAATCCATCTCAATGAACAGTAACCATGTGTTATACACCTTTGTTGTGCAATCTCTTATAGTCTTACCAATAGAGGCTCATCATTTGCTTAGCATTGCCATTCTTTGGTAAAATTCCAATTACGCACAACTTCGAGAAAATGTCTGATATTTACATGATGCATTCTGATGTTGAAAATAGATATTTTTCTGACTTGCACTGGCCATGCAGCTTAGAATAATATTTATGGTTAACTCATAATGTTCATGGACAATATTATTTCAACATAAATTCAACTGGAATTACATAAACTAATATTACAAATGCAACTCTAAGTCTAATCTCCCAGGATTTGTAAACTCGTCGTAACTAGCCCCAGCACCTGGAAAAGCTTTAGCAAACTCTAGTTTGTCTAGAAGACCATCAACGAAGAAAGAAGAAATGAAAAGTTTCCTCTGACTTGAAGCCATGAAGTTCTGCCTCACCGCATCATCTAGAAATTTGATTAGGTTATTAAAATAACCGTCGATGTTCAAGAGACCAATGGGTTTATTGTGCAAACCTTCAGATGCCCACGAAATTAAGGTGAACAAACCTTCCATAGTATCAATCCTTCCAGGAAGTACGATGAAGGCCTCCACTACATGATTCATCTCGAAATGCTTATAGTAATTGCTTGAAACTGTGTATTCTGCACCATATGTAGGTCCGTAGACCTGTCGTGCTGCTATGTACCATGGTATGAAGCCTCTAACTATACCACCATTGGTATAGACTGTTGAAGCAACAACTCCTTGAAGGCCAACGTTGCCTCCTCCATAGGTAAGTCTAATTTTTCTCCTTACCAATTCCCTTCCTAAATCCACCGCCGTAGCCATGAACTTTGGATTTCTACCAAGAGAATGACTACCAAGTAGACCAACGAATTTTATGGTGTAAGGAAAAGTTCGAGATGTTCCTTCCATAATGTGAGAATGTGAAATGCTCTGGCCACAATCGTGATATATATAGGCTCTGAAAACGTGACCTTTGAAAAAGGGTAGTTATCCTCCGTCAAAATTTGTACAGCAAAGATAGATTCAATTTACCTACTGACAATGATGTGTTCGCTAATAATACAGTCTGCTGACGATATGACCTATCAAGACTCATGAACAGTTAGATTCGCTGTCCTGAAATACGTTCAAATCCAAGATGAAAAGTCAAACGGCTACTGCCCTGAAGACAACGACCCCTTGAGCAATTGAAAGACTACGTTACGACGTATGAATTGAAACAAACTGCAATTGTGCTTATCAAAGGCCATTCAAGAGTATTGAAGAAATTTTCAATCGATTCTATTAACCAAGGACGTACAGATAAGACTCGTAACTGAACGAAGTTATGTATGTCAAGTATGCAATACTACACATTATGAAGGAACTTTTGTCATCAAAGGATCAGTGAAGACCATACTTAATCGAAAATTACTAATCTCTCGAAGATTGAACGAGTTTGATGAAATCAATGACTTGAGAATACTTATTCGAAAGATGGCGACATAACCATATGAATATGAAACGGTCATGATCAATGAGATCATTACAAAACGTGGAACGTTGAACCTAAGAAGAATTTCGAGGACGAAATTCCTTTTAAGGGGGGGAGAAATATAATGCCCCAAAACATACCCTAGAATTATTAATGAATAAATAATCAATTAATCACAATTGTTTTGATTAAAATAAATTATTGTTGGGCTTTGGGCCGATATGAAATTTGTTTTGATATCCAATATCTTAATCTGGATAACTCTCATGGAGATAAATCCAATATGTGGACTATTTGTGTAGTCTTGATTGGAAACCTGAGTACAGACCCGAATCAAGAGTAAATAAAGAATTTGTTTAGAATGTAAATATTGAAATGATTTGTTGAAATAAATCATGAGAATAATTGATGTGAATTAAATGAGAGAACCTTTTATGAGGAAGGTCAATTAAACCAATTTTGACTCTGTTAAAGTCAAACACCCAAAAATGTGGTGTCGGAAAAAGTATTTCAACTAAATATAAAAATTATATCGTTGAATAGAGTTCGACTGTCCGATCGCAATGGTGCAAACGAAATTCAATTCGGAGAAAGTTGGACAAAAAAGTGTACCCCAACTGGGACCAAATTAGTCCCAATCAGGGAACTAATCATGAAACGGCACCATGTTCCCTTCCTGTGCAATCAGTCGATCCCAATTACGTAGAAGCAATAGGAGTTGGCTTCTTCCCTTCTTCTCCACTATATAAACAAACACAACTCCTTTCATTCTTCACCAAAACAATTCAATTTTGCTTCTATATTGTTCTTTGCTGAGAGAGGAGTGCCCTGGTGTTGTCACTTTTGTGTGAGGTCGCTGGAGCAGGGAGTATTCGTCGCCGGAAGTTTCGCCGGAAAATTCTCAAAACCTTCAATAAGCTTCGAGGTAAGCCCGTAGATATATCTACTGACTAGAATGTTCATATAGATCGTTTCTACGTTCATAAACGGTCGTTTGGTTGAGTTTTGTGTTTGACATGCTCTAAGAACCAAGAATCATAAACCATGAAATTGATGTTAAAACTATGAATTAATGATTCCAAAATGATCCATGAACCTTGGAGAACATCTCTATATAGTTTCGTTGAAGTTCGGTAACTAAAAACGGTATTTTCGAAATTGGACCCGAACGAAGAAGAAGATGAACAGTAACCAAAAACAAGACTGTCTGGATCGATCCAATGGCCTGGATCGATCCTCTGGGACTATTTTCTCTACATATGGATCGATCCCCCGAAGTTCTGATCCGAAAATTTGTCCGAAATTGCTATTTTTGAGCTCTAAAATCCTATTTTTGATACCATTTGATTATAATTATTTTAAGGATGATTCTTTACAATAAAAATGATGTTTTTAACAAATAAAAATGATATGTGATGCATGACGTTATGTTCGGGTGTTAACACTCAAAACTAGACCGCTATTTGTTATCAATTGATGTGTAGATTGATGATTATGATGAATGATTATTATGGGTGATGATGAATGATGAACTTACTGATTAAAATTATTATTTATGATTGAACCATGAGTAAAATGAATATATTGATAATTATTAAACGATTTGTATTGTTAACGGTATCTAGAAGAACTCTAAGATATACCCATTAGTTAATTGATGTTAAGGCTATCTAGAAGACATCTAGAATAGATCTTGTATTAGAATAGACTTATGAAAACATGAATATTTGATGAATTAGATAAAAATGTATAAACGGGATTCGTAGACCAAACTAGAGGATTACTCGTTTGGGAATGTCTGATCCAATGTTGATGAATCGCTATACTGTTGTTGCCTTAACCGACTACGGTTAAGTGTCCAAATCGTTTGCCTTAAACTAGTGATAGTTTAAGTGTCTGATTGCCTTAACTGACTACAGTTAAGTGTCCGAAATCAATTGCCTTAACTGACTACAGTTAAGTGTCCGAAATCAATTGCCTTAAACTAATGATAGTTTAAGTGTCTGATTAATAATTGCCTTTTAAGAATGTGGTTATGGAAATTATGATTTGGCCTTAGACTAAGAATAGCTAAGAGCATTATTATGATTTGGCCTTAGACTAAGAATAGCTAAGAGCATTATTATGATNTGATTTGATTATAAATTTAGATTCAGTTTATATGGATGTTCGGCGCATTAGATATGCTTACTCAGCTTTACCGCTGAGCGTGTAGTGTGTTTTATTTGCTACACGCAGGTAAGCAGAAAGCACAATGTGATCTTGGCGGCAGATGGGGCGAGATTGTCGGGATGGATGTGACAAGTTTTGAAACAATTTATGATATGTCAATATTAAAATCGCTTCCGCAATATTGTTGAATACTCCGTACTGTATATGTTATGAAAAATATTATTGGGATTAATAAAGTGTGTTTGAAAAGTTTTAAATTTTTACGATTACCAAGTTAAATACTTTAGTCCGAATGGGGCTGCAGACCTGGACGGATTAGGGTGTTACACGTACTCAGTATCCATTGTTACGGATTTCGCGCCATACCAATGTAAACTAGGTGTCCCGCTTTGGCGTGTCCTTTGACTGGTCGAAACTGGTATGGACGAGTGAGTCGGCGTCGGAAGGCACAAACTTAATATTACGAGGGATTTTAAACGTGATTTCACCTATGGCATGTGCCGCGCACATACACTAGCGAATATCATACAAACATAAATACAAACATGTATAATGAATAAAATGTGACATGGTTGTGGCCTCCTAAAGAACTAACGATAAAGCCTTCACTTGAGATCTCCATCTCCAGCTTCACCTTCTTTCTTTAAGAATGCTTTAGTCTTCAAGTTCAGCCCTTACTTGTTGGTGTTCTCTTCTTCTTGGCTCCATCATCTTCCTTGCTTCTTCATGGACTTCTTTGTTTAATCGAGAGAAAAGAATCCTTGCTTTGTAAGCAAGGGGTATGAGGTTTAAGAAGGGATTTACAACCAGAATTCAGAGATGAGGCACGACACGCATTCCGTATTTAAAAACCAATGATTCTAAGCCACAACCACGCACCAAGCATACATTCATACATCACATGGATAAAAACCATACATTGGGCAAGCCGTGCTCGTCCCAGACCTAGTTTATTCTAAGAAAAATAAACTACAAGCCTACAAATTATCAAATAATTTTATTTAACTTTATTTTAAAACTCCAGAATATCCAAAATTTAATTTTGAATTTTCCTGAATTTTAAAATAGTTAATTGCCGTAAATATAGGTATTAATTTCGAAATTGGGATTTTAATTCGAAATAAATACTTATACCTTTTGAAAATTAATAAATAAATTCCATAATGTGTATTCTGATTTTATAAGTCTGAAAATAAAATTTCCAGAATTTATAAAATATATTTTTCGAAATTCTTTATTCAAATACCCAAAATCGGACTTCAATTTTCCAAAATTAATTCCGAGTTTCCAAAAATTAATATTTTCCAAATATATTTACTTTGGGTCCGTGTTGTTTTGAAAATCAAATTTCCAGAAATAAATAAATTTTTATTTCGGTATTTTGGAATTTGTTTCCAAAAGGAGTTAAACTAATTTCCAAAATTAATTTAGAATATTCCAAATATTCCAAAAATCAATATTTTCCAAATATAAAGTTTCTGACTCATTTACAATCTGAAAACAATCTTTTCCTGATTTTACTTAAATTTATTTTCGGTACTTTCTATTTATTATTTGGCAATCCATAAAACAATTTCCAAAATTATTTTTCGTGTACCATAATTGTTCCAAAAATCATTATTCTCAGAATATTATGATATTATTACCAAATATTAAATTTCCATAATTTAAAATTAATTATTTAATTTTAGGGAATTAAATACCAAATTACCAAAACTGTTTTTCCCAAAAACTAATAATTAAATACTTAAATTACGAATTTAATTCTAAAAACTCTTTTGAACTCTGAAAATCATATTCTAAAGTTCATAAAATTATAATCCCGAATTGTAATTGTCCTTTTCGGTTTAATCTATATTATTACCGAATAAGATTATTTAAATCGGGAAAAATAGAAAATCAAAACCGAAAATTTCTTTTCATTTTCCAGAGTACTTAAAATCATATTTTAACATTCCAGAAGTATTAAAATTATTTTTCATAATTTATTTTGTATTTATCTTGTAATTAATCAAATTAACTACAAATCAATTAATACCTTATAAATTAGAAAATAAATTCCGAAAATTAATTTTAAATTTCCAGAGCTCTTAGAATCATATTTTAAAGTCTCTAAATGATTAAAATTATTTTTCCATAATTTAGTTTGTATTTATCTTGTAATTAATCAAATTAACTACAAATCAAACAATACTTTATAAATTAGGAAATTAATTCCGAAAATTAATTTTAAATATCCAGAGGTCTTTAAATCATATTTGAAAGTCTCATATTTAATAAAATTTAATTTTCGAATTTTCTAAATATTTTAATTGGTTAAAACAGTTTTTAACCCATTAACCCGAAAATAAAAAGTAAAGAAAGAAGAAAAAAAGTTGACTTGTAAGTAATGAAGTGAAATGATTATTTCAGGGCGGAGGAAGTACTATAAATAATAGGCATTTCCAATCTACAACTCAAAATGAATCCAATGTTTTAAATTACGTTAGAAAAATATTTAAGTTTTCCTCAAATTAGAACAAAAATTTGTAATATTGGACACAAAAAGTCAAACTTAAATTCCCATGATCTAGGAGAGAAAAAAAAGAAAATCAAAGAGAGAAGGGTATGAAGAAAACCAATAAATAAAACAATAATTTAGAAACAAAGATGCACAAAGTCTGAAACTCTATTTTTCTGACTTTTTTTACAACTTCTTTGTATGCTTTTTCTAGTTTCAAAAAAATACATCAGAAAAATAAAAAATTAAAATACGATGCAAGAATTTTCTAGTTAGAACCACCCACCATCTCATGCTACAAAAACATCAAACACAAAATTATCCAACCACTTTTCTATTGTTGATATTTTCTAGTTGAAAAAAAAACCAAAGGAGCAAGAGGGATAAAAAGGGTAGGAATGAAAATGGTTCTAATACCAAATTGTTACAAATGTATTAGCAAACGCGGATGAAGAATATCTTTCCCTGTTTGTTACTAGGAGGGGAGAGCACGTGGTGACTAAAATCTCATTATTAAATATTTGACTTCAACCATTCATCATTTCATTAATCATTGTGTGAGTATAAATGGGCAACACCTTACAAGACACTTATCATAATCATACTAGGAAACATGAATCCCTATTTAGGGATATTGACTAAAATAGAATAAGACTAGTAATAGAATAAGACTGGTTTGCTTTCAGGCCGTTCTATTTGTATGACATTTGTCGAGGTCTAGGCGTAAGACATTTGAGCAAAACCACATTAGAAAAGATTGAATTGATTCGATTAACTAGTTTAACACAAGATTTTATTGATTGTTCATTCTCTAATAAATGTTCAACACAAGACTCTCTAACATACCCCTCTAAGTGGTACACTTCACTATACAATAAAAAATACTTTTCCACATTATTCCTTGGTGTGAATGAGAGTACAAGAGCATATAAGAAGCGGTGAATTGAGAAAGGTCAATTCCCCAACAAATTTGTGGTACACAATTTAATGGTACATGGTCATGTAAACCCATTATTATGAGGAGGTGTGGATCATGCCGTTGGAACATCAACATTTCTCCGTCACGCTGCTTTACTCCCTCCCCTCCCTAAAAAACTTCTACATGAAACCAATTAATAAAAAAACAACAGCATCGAAGAAAAAACCCAATGATTCTTTTCAGCTTTATAACCACACACTATCTTTCACCGCAGAAATGTAAACCTTGTTACATACTCTCTTACAAGGGATTTATGAAGTGATCATCAAAACAGTCTTGCTAAAGACATGAAACCATTAGTGAGTTAATATAGATTCCAAGATTCTACAATTTATAATTATGAGTTAAAGGTTAATCAAAGTTGTGATGGTTCCCAAATTTTCCCAAAAGAACATCACATCGGACAATATCACAAAGATCTTGCATGACATTAACAGCACCACTTTCCTGTTTCAGAGAATGTTCTTCCTTCTACAAAATAGAATTTCATAAGTCCAAATTACATCATTTATCTCAAAAACAAAAGTTAAAATATTATATGCACATATGTGGCGCACACACAAAAGAAAATACAATACAACCTCAACCATGATTAGACAGTAAACAAAATTGTGAAGGATAGAAAGAACCATATAAAAACCCTTTTAGAAGTTAAAAGGAAAAGACAATAGCAGAGTGTGCAAAATAACATATCACCTCGTCATAGATTGACAAAAACAATGGACAATTAATTAAACATCAGCTATATCTTTTTTTTACCATGCATTATCTTAAAATCCAAGTGGGAGAATTAAAAATGCCATGCTTGAGACAGATAGCAGACCCCATTTTTCATAGAACATGCAACCATTTCACTCAAGGTAAAGAAAGTATATGTCCTATAGTTTAGGTGTTTTATTTAACTAACCTTTTCGCATATTACTTATTCTTACCTTAATCAAACCACTTATCAGACCATAAAAAATCATATGAGACCAAATAAAAAACATTAGACATGACCATAGCAAGCATTAATATTTCATATAAGAAAATTAGACAATACAAAAAACATTCATATTAGAGCAAATCAAGTCAGACTAGACAAGAAAAATTCAAACAGATCTTAAAGTATTCAATCAATCACATTTTAGAGGCAAAGAGAACAAGTGCTTTGTTTCACTCAATTCAGGTTGAGAATATCTCTATGAAAGAACTTGTATTAGCCTTAGAGCTGGCAAATCAGACGGTCAGGTCGGGTTTGGGTTCGACCACTTCTCATATTTTCATTAAAAAAATGAAATTGATGTCGTGAACAATCTCTGTAATTAAGCATTTGACAGTCTTTAAATGTTATCATCAACACCAGCCGATATGTTATATCCACCACAATGAAGAAAAGAAGATTAACAAAGAAACAGAAGTATGGGGTTCAACTGTATACACTGATGTGACTGACAGATAAGTTAAAGCTACAAGTACATGTTAAAGTTCATATCAGAACGAGCAAGGTCATGAAAGGTAAAATCGGGCCTCGTTGTGGTGGGTCTCTACTCTCAATGACATGAGGCATAAAGCCTTGAGTGACAATGTGTAAGCCTCACTTTAATTTAAATAAAAATATAAAACAATAAAATAGAATCCATAACTCATACTGTAAAAGAGAGTATTACCTTTACAACATTGGTGAATTATTACAAGTAATAAACAATTAAAAATAGATTTTTAAATTTTAAAAAATGTAATAAAACAATGTTTAACGGCCAAAAACTATGAGAATATAATCTAACCAAATACCAATAAGACAACAAGTAAATAAGTAAATGAAGTAATAAAGTAATAGAATAATTCTCAAATACGAAAAGCTACAAACAAAAATCTCAATTAAAAAAGAGATTAAATAAAGCGGGCAGATGAGAAAATGAGGGATGTTGGGGTGGGAGTTGCACTGATCAGAGGAACTTAGTGTTAAAAGAAACAAAGAAGAGAACAGGCAATGAGACCTGGTTGAAGAAATGATGACTGTAAACCAAGACAACTATAATTGTCGGCTTGTAACTGAACGGGAGGGAAGTAGAAGATTGAGAGGAGAAATGGAAGGGTGGCATTTTTGTTAATTGGCTCCTAGGTTTTATCAAAATAAATCTAGATTTTTACTATTTACATTGTGGTTTATTTTTTATGGTACATTGTGCTTGTTAGAAAAATCAAAAAAGCAAAAATAAAGCAAAGTATATAATATAAATGTTAAAGCCCAATAGCTTTTATGAACTTTCATAAAATCATGATAAAACCTGAAGCTTAAGCCTTGTTTAAGTCTTGTGCCTTATGTGCTTCTGTATGCCTCATCCACCTAGGGCGTAAGCCTCAAAATACCAACATGAGGCTTAAATCCATCACCTTTAACACTCCCACTTCAAGGCATACCCCCTCGAACGCCTTAGAAAACCATGAGAACGAGTTCAGGATTCCGTTTTTTAGTATCAGGTGACAAGTATTGTATCAAACATAGAGTATATAAATTGCTCCAACTTATGGGCAAGCTTAAAGAGAGTAGAAATTGTAAATCTAGTTTAGAAACCCTGGGCTTTATAAGCTTCGGCCCATTATATTGTTCTTTATATATGCAGTGTACTAGTAATAGGAGAGTAACAACCATCCCTGTTGTATGAGAATTGAAACTACGCCATATGTACATGCACAACAAAACAAATGATCTGCAATGGATGGAACTTAAAATACAAACCAGTATTCCCAACAATGCAGAAACTTTCTGAATCCTTAGTGGTAGCTTATTTAATTCAATATCAACAAGTATGCTCCTATTAGCTATGCTTCTCTGAATCTCGTCATATATTCTCTCAACCCTGCAATGGCACATGAAGAGAGATGAATCTTTCTGACCAAATAACTTGCAAGCCACAAATATTTTCCTTAAGGAATCAACTTGCCACTTCTTACCCTCAGTATCCAACACAGATGTGAGGACTAACTTGAGGGTATAATAACACTCTTGAACAACATATTTCATGTAATCGTCCCTTAAAATCCTGTCCCATAGCTCCTCTTGCAAAAGTCTGGACTCTTTACCATCAATAGCAGTATCTTTAGCTAGAAAGCAACTACTCCCACTGAATACAATGATATAGCGTCCTTTCTATTTTCACATGTCTAACAAGACAATTGTACATCATAATATCAAAACTCTTCAATGCACAACTTAATAATACAAATATGCAATCTATACATGTGTAAAGACAGCATAATTGGAACTGCATGTACCCAATGTTGTAATACTGTGTATCAATCAAAACTTTTAGACTACTGTGTGTCTTCCTAGAGAATAAATATTAGTGGATGGGGAGTAGTATCAATCAAAACTTTTAGACTACTGCGTCAAATAAGCGATATACATTCTTTGAGAAATTCACAATTAATAAAGAGAACACGTTGAAATAAAGAAAGAATTTATTGAACATATTAACAATTTTCAAAAAATTTAAAAGCACTAGGAGCTACAATATACTGGGGGCTAGCGCCTGGGCACAGTCAAGTGCTAAGATTTTTAGAATAGAGTATTCTTAAAGAAAGCATCAAATAAATGCAAAACATGAAAACCAATGGAAAAAACTCATAAAAAGAAAAATAATAAATGTAAAGTAAACCGATAATAGGACACACACACACACAGATATATATATATATATATATATATATATATATATATATATATATATATATATATATATGCAAGAAAATGCATCTATATCGTCCATGTGACTCTTAAGTACCTAAAATGAAAAGTAAACATCACTCTTAACTTGTTAAGGCAATATAGGTAAATCTTTTGGTCCACAAAGAAACTGATTTATCAAATTAGCCAAAGTATCGCAATGACATTACAGAAGTGTAAGTAAAAATAACTCACAAAACCAGATGAACGCGTGGATTCCCTGCAATATAGATTTTGGATTTAGATATAACAAATATGTTTTAAGTAAAATGTTAGCGGATATTTGTAATTAGGCGTAGATATCGTGTTATTGGGCCTGTACTTGTAGCCCGTTTATGTACTTGTATATATATCGGTTTATGATTAATGGAAAACAGTTCAGTTGCGCTAAACTTTTCTACATGGTATCAAAGCCTAAACCCTAGGCCTCTCACGCGTCCCTGTTCTCCGACATTTTCTACGGCCAAACCCTATGCCGGCGTCGTGTGTTTCTTGCTCTCTTCTCCGGCGAAGAAGCTGTTCGGTCGCTGGCCAAAATCTTGCACCAGCACCACCGCATATTGCTTTGAGTTCTTGGAATGGCTTCGACTACCAAGAAAACACGTTTGATCCACGATTCATTGTCAGAATATTATCTCCATCCGTCTGAGGGTCCAGGTAATACTTTGACAAAGCATGTGTTAAAGGGTGAAAATTTTGATACTTGGGAGAAAACTATTGTCAATGCACTGAAGGGACGTAGTAAGGCGGGGTTTTTGTCTTCTACGGGAATGCCTAAACCTACTGATCCTGCGGAATTGGAAGCGTGGGAAGCAAATAAATCCACAATTTGCAGTTGGATTTTTAATAGTGTTGATGAAATTATACAGCCTAGTATTGCTTCTCATACCGTGGTTCACGAGTTATGGTCAGATTTGAAAACTCGTTATAGTACCATAAATGAGCCTCGGATTTATCAATTGGAGAATGAGTTGCAGAATCTTAGGCAAAAGGGTCAAACGGTGGTTGTGTATTACAATCAGTTTGTCACTTTATGGAATAAATTATACGAGGTCGAGGATCCCACGTGTGGTTGTGCATGCCCAGCTGCTACAAAATTGAGAGCAAATGCTGAGAAGGCAAAAACAAGAAAGTTTTTGTTGGGGCTTGATGATGAGCAGTTTGGTACTCTTCGAGGTCAAATCTTGGGTACTCAACCGCTCGCAGATTTGAACAAAGCCTTTTATCTCATCTCCCAAGAGGAGCGTCACCGTAGCGTTGTACGTGCTCGGGACGACAATACCGATGCTATGGCGTTTGCTGCTCCACGTACCGGGTCCAATCCATACCAGTGCACTAATTGCGGGAAACAAGGCCATACAGCAGATCGTTGTTACTTGATTATTGGGTCTCCATCTTCGGGCCGAGGACGTGGTCGAACTTCATCAACCCGAGGGGGAGGACGCAGCAATCGTGGTGGCCGAACATCTGCCCAGTCGCCACTCTCTACTGCCGGGCAGTCTGGCAACCCAGCTCCCTCGGCAGGCACGTCCACAGCTAATTCCGTTATTGACGTGCACAACTCTCTCTCCGCCATGTCTCCGGATCAGGTTGCACGTCTATTCTCCATGCTGGATTCCACTCCTTCGTCATCTGATAAACTACAAGGTATGTCTGACTCTGTACCTTGCGAATGGTTGGTGGATAGTGGAGCTTCTCATCATATGACCTGTTTATTATCTTGCGTTACAGATATTGTACCACAGTCTCCTTGCACCATTAGCTTGCCGGATGGAACCCATGTTGTGTCCACTTCGTGTTGTAACGCCACGAAATATGGCCTAAATTTTATTATAAAACAAAAGTAATTTTCGTCCAATAAGAAATATTTATAGGTTGACCAAAAATAAATGATTTTCAAAATAATGACTTTTTGTTAAAAACTTATTTTTATGGATATGTCTCAAAGAGACGAATCCAACGATACAGTTTATGAACCAATCTCATTTATAGATTTCAAGTTATGTCGATTTTAAATATTAAAATTTGTAACTTTGACCCATAAAATAAACTCAATCCAAAGGTGATTTAATAAGATTATAAATCATAATTTTGACACTTGACAACACCATATTTATCATTTGGATTTAATCCATATATTTATATCTCAATCATATTATAAAATTAATTTATGACAGAGACA